TTGGGAAGGGGAGGATGTGTGGGTTTCCCTTGGGGTTGCTGAGTTGGGGGATGAAGGAGTGTCAGTCAGACTCTTGCAGGTCCCTGAGAAACATGGAAGGTCCTGAGCAGGTCCCCAGCCCCTAACCACCCTTCACCCAGGGCCTAAATCTGCCCGGCTGCCCCCCAGGTCTCGGGCAGCCCCCGACAGAAGGCAGTGCAAGGCACAACGGAGCTGCAGGAGCTGCGGAGCCGCACAGAGCAAGCGGAGCGGAGACTGCTGGCCTGTGAGAACCTGGTGGGGGAACTGGGCAGCAGCCTGGCTGCCCTGGGCAGCCTCCTTCAGGACTATGGGCAGCTCCAGCAGCGCCTGAACAACGTGGAGAACCTCCTGAAGAACAGGAATTTCTGGATTCTGCGGCTGCCCCCAAGCTCCCGGGGAGAAGTCCCCAAGGTAAGCTTCCCAGGGAATGCCTGAGGCATCTGGGCAGTGGGATTGGGGGCTGAGCTCCTGTGTGTCCACAGGCTCTGGTGCGGCTGGGCACATCCTGGTGATCCCAGTGTGGAATGGCTGTGATTCCAGGTGCCACTGACCTTCGACGATATCTCAGTGTATTTCAATGAGCTGGAATGGGACAGGCTGGAGCGTTGGCAGAAGGATCTCTACAGGGTCGTGATGAGGGGCAACTATGAGACACTGGTGTCCCTGGGTAAGGCTTGGGGGGATCTGGGTGCATGTACCTTATAGAATCACGTAGTATCCTGAGTTGGGAGGGACCCACAAGGATCATCCAGTGCAACCCCTGGCCCTGCACAGGACACCCCAACAATCCCACCATGTGCCTGAGAGCATTGTCCAAACACTCCCTGAGCTCTGTCAGGTTTGGGGCTGTGACCACTGCCCTGGAGAGCTGTTCCAGTGCCCAGTCACCCTCTGGGGGAAGAACCTTCTCCTGATATCCAGCATAAACCTCCTCTGGCACAGCTTCAAGCCATTCCCTCAGGTCCTGAGGTGGCAGAACTGCTCCTGGGCTGTCAGACCCACACATTTCCCGGTTGTTTGTAACCAATGAGCAGGGAATGAGAGAATCCCTATTCCTGTAGTGAATAACGGTGAAAATAAGGCAGAAAATATCTATTATAAAGCAATATCCACGTGAGATGCTGTTCCTCATTACGATCTAAGTGGATTCCAGAGTCAGGGAACAATCGTGATGCAGTAACAGGACCGGGGGAATTCAGCCTGGAGAAGAGAAAGCTCCAGGGAGACCTTAGAGCCACTTCAAGTGCCTCAAGAAGCTCCAAGAGAGCTGCAGAGGGACTTGGGACAAGGGCCTGGAGGGACAGGACAAGGGGGAATGGCTTCCCACTGCCAGAGGACAGTGATAGATGGGATACTGGGAAAGAATTGTTCTCTGTGAGGGTGGTGAGGCACTCAGGCTGCCTAGAGCAACTGTGGCTGCCCCATCCCTGGAAGTGTTCCAGGCCAGGCTGGATGGGGCCTGGTCTAGTGGAAGGTGTCTCTGCCCATGGAAGGGAGTGGAATTAGATCATCCTTAAGGTCCCTTCCAACTCAGACCATTCTGGGACTCTGTGATATCCCAGCACCATTCAGCAATGACCTGGATGAAATGATAATCACACCTTGACCCAGTTCTTGTTCTCTGCCGGTAACAGGGACATTTCCTTCTACCTTGGTGAGGAACTGATCCAATCCCACTCAGTCTTGTGAGAATAGAACAAACCTGTTCCTCACTTGTCCCACCTGCCACAGATATCCCTGTGGAGCAGAACTTTCTCCATCCCTGCATCAGCACAGTGGCTCAGAATTGCTCCTCAAGTCACTGTGAAGCTGAAACAGGAGGGAAATGCTCCAGTCAAAGCTTTTCCCTCTCCTTTGGGAATTCAGTTCATGTTCTGTTTCTCTACCTGAGCTACAGCTGTGCCCATGGCTGCATCCTGCCTCGACGCCAAGGAAGCAGCTCTGCTGCTGTGATTGGAGCAGGGATGAGGTGTTTGTGTCTGCCAGAGCTGGGGTGTGGGGAGGTTCACTTTAGGGATCTGCCAGGATAAAGTTGGCGCAGCTCCTAATAAACACCCTGTCCTCTGCTTCACGAGCAGACTATGCTGTGTCTAAGCCTGACATCCTTTCCTGGATTGAGAGGGATGAAGAGCTCAGTGACAAAGGAGGTCAGGAGCCCCTCCAGACACAGACTGGAGATGGTCAGGAACCCCCAGAGGCGTCAGAAGAGATGGACCAGGCAGATGAGGCTTCAGGAGATGAAATCTCCATGGAAGCTGACCCAGGTGGGTTTCAGGAGGATGTATTTATTCCTGGAGATCTCCCTTTTTTTTTTGAATGAACTGTTTCAAGGGTCTGTTGACTGCATGGGCTAAACCACCCCAGAGCACTGTGAATCTTGATTCAAAGAGGAATGTTTGCTTGGTCAGATGAATCCCATGGAGAAAAGCAGGCAAAGCCTGCTTGGGAGGGGTTGGGATGGTGTCTGGAGTGGTTGGACAGGCCTCCTATGAGCCCTGGAACTTCTGGAGACATCCCTGCCTCCCATGGGAGGGGAGGAACTGGGAGCTCTGGTGGTAGGAGTAGGAGGCTGGAGCAACTCTTACTGTTCTCAGGGGAGCAGAGTGGTCCAAGGAAGACTGGGGGCATGAATTTAGAGTGTGAAGTCTGGGCGGGAAGGTGGAGAATGTTGGAAAGGGACATGCAGTCCTGGACAGAGCCAACATGAGGGAAGACATGTGGGCAAAGGATTGAGGAGTTGGAGGGGTTAAAGACATCCCAGGAGAGGCCTGTTGGGTGCTGCCCCGTGGGCATCCTCACCTGGAGCCCTGCAAGCTCCAGATGGGAATTCAAGGATTGGATTGTTATGTGCTGCCAGGAGGAGAGGAAAAAAGTCTGTCCTTCTCCTGTGGTCCATGTTCTGCTACTTAGAACTTCTCTCCTGGGTGGGTCCTGCTGTGGTTGGAGCAGGGATGAGGTGTTTGTGTCTCTGCAAAGGCTGGGGTGAGGGGAAAAGGGTCACTTTGGGAATCTGAAGAAGGTACAGCCAAATCCTAATAAACTCCCTATCCTCAGCCCCAAGAGCAGTCAGTGCTGTGTCCAAGCCTGACAGACAGTCCCAGATCCAGAGGCATCAAGAGCTCAGTGACAGAGAGAAGCCTCGATGGACACCCACTGGGGACAGCCAGAAGTCCCCACGGACACCCACTGAGGACAGCCAGGAGTCCCCACAGACACACAGTGAGGACAGCCAGGAGTCCCCACAGACACACAGTGAGGACAGCCAGAAGCCCTCACAGACAAAGAATGGGGACAATCAGAAACCTCCACATACAGGTGTCCCCAACAATCAGAAGCCTCCACAGACACCAGAAGAGATGATGAAAAAGGAAGAGGCTTCAGGAGAAAATTGCATCCTCAAAGAAGCTGTCCCAGGTGAGTTCTGAGAATGCCAGAGGGATGCGCTTCCCCTGTCCCAGCTCACCCAGTTCTGTCTGTGTCAGAGTGGGAGTGTCGGTGGCAGAGGGTACAGCCAGTCCTGGAGCTTACAAAGGCATCACCAGGGAGAAGCAGGAGTCTTGGAGTGCTGTCATGGTGCTGAAGGGACACTGGGAGGAGGTAGAGAGCCTGGACATGGGAATACAGCCTGTGGTGATTGTGGGGAGGGAGGAGAGGGGGTAGGGCTGACGCTGCTCTGTGGAGATGACACCACATGGCATCTCCCAGCCCTCCCTCTGCTTTTGGTCCTTACGTGGCTTCACTCCAGTTCCTCCTAACACCTCCCAGGCTTTCCTCAGAATCACTGAGGTTGGAAAAGCCTTGATCATCAAGTCCAACGGTCCCCCAGCACTGCTAAGGCCACCACTAACCATGTCCCCAGGTGCCACATCCACATGGATGTTAAATCCCTCCAGGGGTGATTACTCCACCCCTGCCCTGGGCAGTCTGTGCCAGTGCTGGACAGCTCTTTCCAGGAGGAATTTTCCCAATATCCAACCTGAACCTCCCCTGGCAGAGGTTGAGACCATTTCCTCTTGTCCTATCTCTCATTCCGTGGGAGCAGAGCCTGACCCCCACCTGGCTGCACGTCCTGTCAGGGAATTGGAGAGAGCCAGGTCTCCCTGAACCTCCTCCATGCTGAGCCCCCTCAGCCCCTCCTGGTGCTCCAACTCCTTCCCAGCTCTGTTCCCTTTCCTGGACGTGCTCCAGCCCCTCAATATCCTTCTTGTCCTGAGGGGCCCAGGACTGGATGTGCCTCAGCACTGCCAGCACAGGGACAAGGCACTGCCCTGAGGCTGTGCCCACACCAGTGCTGACACAAACTCAGTGACCACTGTGCCCCTCTGTTTCAGAGGAATGTTCCGTCATGGAAGATGGAATGCCATGTGAAGGGGCTTCTCCCAACATCAGGGTGAAGGAGGAGGAGCATCCGACACTGCCGGAGGATTCCACACCCTCTCCCAGCTTGGAGATGCAGAAGTGCCCCAAAAACGATCCAGCCAAGGCCAAGAGCAAGAAGAAGCCAAACCGGTGTGAGACCAGCAACCTGCTCATGGGCAACTGCCGCCGCGGGTATGTGCGGGAGTGGTCACATCCCTGCACGGAGTGCGGGAAGCGCTTCCGCCTCAAAATCAACCTGATCATCCACCAGCGCAGCCACGCCAAGGAGGGCCCCTACGAGTGCCCCGTCCCGTGTGCGATAGCGTCTTCAGCAACAAGCAGCATCTAGACCTCCACCAGAGCATCCACATCAAGGACAGAGCCTTTGGTGCCAAGGTCTGGGGGAACGTCCACCCAGAGCTGCGCATCCGCCCGCGCAGGGATCTGTGCGGCAGCACCCATGGGCTGGGCAGTGGCATCCATGCTGGAGGAGCCTGTCTGGGGCGGCCCAAGGACGAGCTGGACAGAGGGAGCCTGTCCAGCACCACGGTGGCGCGGCAGGTGAAGCCTAGTGTGACGTGCCCTCGGTGCAGTAAGATCCTGTCCTGTTCCATGTCACTAGAGCAGCACCTGCGGACCCATGTGCGGGACCGGCCCCACTGCTGCAGCTCCTGCAAGAAGTGCTTCACCCGCAGGAACCATCTCCTGCGCCATGAGAAGATCCACCAGCGAGCCTTGGCTGCACTTCAGCAGGCAGGGAATGCCCCGCCCACCACTGGTACCCCAGCAGCCCAGCAGCCCAGTACTCCGGAGGCAAAGAGTAACGTTTCCAAGAGGAACATGAGCCCTGAGGCCACAAAAGCTGCTCCACCAAACATGCTCCGGTTGGAGCTCCCAGCCAAGGGCTGTTCCCTCCTTGGACCTGATGGAAGAGCTGTGCAGCCTGTGGTCCAGCTGGGAATGAGGGCAGTCGCTACAGAGATGATGGAGAAATGACCACAGGAACTGTGTGTGTCCCTGGAGAGAAGCTGCAAGCATTGGGTTTGTGTGCGGTGGGGCACTGGGGTGGTGAATCTACTGCATTTTGGGAGCTTCCCTGAGCTGTGGAAGGAATGGAAAGCCTGGAGACCAGCACAGAGAGCAAATTGCAGGAGCCTCCACTGATCTAAAATGCTTCACCATTCCTCTGACTCTGTTGGCTGATGCTTGGAATTTTCCCGAGCTGACATTCCTGGGAGATGACCAGGTGAATCCCAGTCAGACAGCAGCAGAGTTCACCTGCTCCTTGATGCCAGAGCTGACCCCTCATGTTCGGGAACACAACTGGAGAAGACAGGAAAAGGGAATGGAGCTGGCAGCATTCCCAAAGAGCATTTTGCTCCAATGACCAAGCTTCTGGACCAAGGGGCCAGATGAAGAGAATATGGCATCTCCCGAGACCCCACAATGTCCTGGCCGTGCTTGTCACCCCCACACCCTGGTTCCCAACACCTCCAGCAGGTTGGGAACACTGGAGTTTTACACTGGAAGAGTAACCAAACCAAACCCCATTACTTTGCATATTCCAGGGATCCCAGCAGCACGCTGTCCCTCAGGGAGGCCGTGGACATCCGTGGGACAAGCCTGCATGGATGCAGAGTCACTTCAGGGATTCCTGACGGGTCAGCCTGCCCCAGGCTGCAGCAGCACCCCTGGTCCTCAGGGCTCCTGCATAGAGCAGCCCCTTGGCTAGCAGAGGAAGCTCCTGCTCTCCCAACCACAGCTCATCTCCTTTGGTCTTGTTCAAAATCCTACTGTAATGAATCCTATGGTAAAACAGTTCTGCAGCTACCTCAGTTGGTGGGGCAGGAGCCACCAGAGTCACCCCATGTCTGTGCCCCGAGCTCCATGTGCATCCCATATGTTGGTTGTGTACAGAGACCATCTCCCTCCTGTTGTCATCACCATGTGTACCCAATGGAGAAGCTGTTGGGACTCTTGAATTTAGTTTTCCAGGTTTTTTGTTTTCCATGGGTTGTTTAATGTGATTTTTGACATCCCAAAATCTCTGTCCCTCTCTGAGCAGTGAGCACCAGGAACTGGTTGGTTTCTCCCATCTTTCATTCCTGGTCATTCCCAAGGTGTGATAGTGTACTGTGGGAAGCTTTGGGACCTGAGGAAACACCTGTGCCACATCCACCTCAGCCACCTCCCTGCTCCATGGGAGGGACAGCAGCATCTGAACTGCTCCATGGGGACACACGTAACATCCCACTGCTCCTCCAGGCTAGTGTCTCACATTGCCTGCCCCTGGGATTGCAGTGTGGAACATTCCTGGAGTGCAGTGGGAGCCAGGAAGGGTGACTGTAGCAGATAGGTCACCGTGTGTCCCCGATGGGACACGTGGGCAGTTGATGCCTTACAGTTATGTGGTGACCATGGATCTGGCAGTGAGCCAGTGGCTGGTTATCCCTGCCCAGGTAAAGATCCCAGCGGATCCCCAGCTGATCCCAGCAGGTAGTACCCCTAGGCTGGGGTGGGAGGTGGAGGGGCAGGGCCAGCAGCCCTGGGCCCAGGACCAACACTTCCTATGACATTCCCAATCCCTTTCTCAGGCTGTGGAATCAATAAAGCATTTGTCTTTATGTCTGGCTGCACTGGCACCTGTCGGCATAGCTGGGGATGAAGGAATTGGGATCAGCCAGGACAGCTCTCACCTGGGGGTTCTGGGAGTCAATTCCAGCAGCTCCAGCCCCACAGAGCACTTCAGTCACCAGGAGAGCCTGGGCCTGGACTCAGTGTTCAGAGGAGCTCGTGGTCACACAGGGGGACACTTGGGGGCTTTGCTGCCATCCCAGTCCGCACACTGGGCCCAGTGTGTGCTCCAAGGGCAGGACCCTGCCTGCCAGGAGCGACACTGTCCTGCCTGGTGCGCTCAGTGGACATGGCTGCTGTGACCTCAGCCCACGGCTGTGCCATGTGAGAGAAAAAGGGAGGGGACACCCTGACCCCACACAGACCAAGAAGGATGAGCAGTTGAGGGAGCAGGGATGGAGTGGCCCTGGCTGCCATGGGCAGGGCAGAGGTGTCCCTCAGCACTGCCAAGGAGTCCTGTAGCACCCGGATCCCACAGAAGATGCTGTGGGGGATTCCTGTGGGACAGCTCGGTATTCCCCTCAGGCAGCTCAACATTGTTCTCCTCATGGCCTCATAGCTGAGATGAGAATGGATCTCTTCTCCCCTCCAGAGCAAAGGGCCTCCTGAGCCTGCCCTTCGCCCACACCCGAGAGCACAACAGACCACATCAGCCCAGTCTTTTATCCGAGTCCACTGGATCCAGCTCATCCACTGATCCTGGCTGCCACCCCGCCCCCACACTGACCACCCCCAGCCAGATCCCTCCACACCGGTGGTGCTCAAACAACCCTGAATTCCATGGCTCCATGAGACCAAATACAGTCACTCCTCCGCCAAATCCACGGAGCAGCGGCACCGCTCGGCTCCAGCTGCTGAACATCCTCTGCTGCCCCGTGACCAGTCTCCACCCCGAACCTCCCGAACCTCTCCCTCCCCAAGCAGCACAGCAGCCTCCTCCCTCCTTCTCCTCCTGGAGACCCAAGTGCTGCCACAAGTCCCACGGCATTGCAGACAGGCCCATGGTGACATGAAGAGCCCCACAGCAGTGTGACACCAGCTGCCTGGTGTGTCCCGTCAATGAAGAACCTCTGCCCCTACCCTTCTCCAGCCCTTCAGGCTACCGATTATCCTGGGTCAAAGCCTCGCTCCCGGTCGTGGCCCGGCAAGCTGACAGCCGTAGAGGTGGCCACAGCGTGGACCTTCTGGTGGTGGTTCAGTGACTGCCGGTGGCGGAAGCTCTTGGTGCAGCCGTGGCACTGGAAGGGTCGCTGCTGGGTGTGGCGGCGCTGGTGCTCCTCCAGCGACACTTTCTGGGGGAAGCTCTCGGCACACTCGATGCA